ATATTAGTAATTGGACAAATCAAATCAAATCAAAATACGTTTATTCAGTTTAGATGCGTCTTAGGGCATGCTTATGAATGTCATAAACGTTTACAAAATTCGCGAATGAGCAAGACTACGCCTACGGACAGTGAAACATATGCACAAATTTTTAAAAGGAAACATCAGCATTGCTGATAGATTTTACAGCACTGGACATAGGTTCTTTTACAATTTTATAGGTTTAGTGGATATCTTAGCGAGTCCCACACTCTGTGCTTCAGTTTGGTCGATAGAAAAGGGTATTTTTACAAACTTTAATTAACTACACACAGTTATTTATATTGATACACAGTTATTTAATTTTTTTATTTTTTTATTTTTTTGATACTTAAACTTACTTGACCAAAGATTTTATTAAAATCTGTTGCTAAAAATAGAAACTGTATACCTGAATATCTCACAAACCTTACATCTCTGCGAAAAAAACAATAAACATTTGTTGTAACAAGGTAAACTGGAAATAGCTATTTTGCAAGTGTTCGCTGATTGGAACAATCGCCAAGTGTACTGGGCCAAGATCAATTACGAAATAAGGTTTAATTTAATAAAAAATAATATTTTATTACTTTCCCCTGTGATTCATACTTTTATTTTATCATTAACTTGATTGTAATGTTTCACGCGCAAGTATTAATTTATACAATAACAGCATAGTTAAATATTTATTATGTTTGCTAGATAAAGATGTACTTTGGCTAAGTTTTTTTGGAGAAATAAATATAAAAATAATCTTTAAATTATAAAATGTTTTGTGATCTAAGGTCATGTTTTTTGCTAAGAACCACAATTTATTACATTTACCCATTCTTTGTTTTTATATTATTTTAATGTTTTTTACTTTTAGCCATATCGCTAATGAATACCTACATAAGTGATAATGGATACTGTATGTCCTTGCATATGGGGTACAAAGGAACAAAGAAGGTATCAAATTGCCACTTCTTCCTTGCGTCTTTATCCTTCTGTGTTAAATTCGGTATTAAATTCGGCTCACATACCATATGTCCTTATGATGCATTTGAAACTGATTATAGTTTTAAAATAGTGATTATGAGTCACCCCACAAAAGGAATGTGCTAGTAAAATAATGCGCTAGTGGAATATGGTTTAATTGACAAAGTTTTATTATTATTAAGAAACAGGGTTAGAACACAACATATTTTGGTTCTTTAAATTTTTGTAACTACCTACAATTTTAATTACGCTAATAAACAATTACAAAAAGAATCCTAAATCAAGCTTTTCCTTTAGTTTTCGATAAAGGTGTCGAAGCCAAAAACCTTCGTATTGAAGGCAATAAAAATAAATAATGGTTTTTGGCTTTTCAAATAATTTGTATAGATGTCATGAATTCTTAAATGATGTATCTTCCGATTGCCAACAAAAAGCGGTACAAAAAATATCAAAGCGATTCGATTTTACGCGTGGTTCGTGCGTGGTTATATAGGAAGGTGCAGATTCAAACATATTAATATATGATCCGATTCTCTACTACACTACTTTCAGCACGTATAAATTGTATATATTTAGACACACAGCTGATCTTCCGTGAGAAACGGTAGTTATCATTGAGGAGTGATGGTCACGCATCAGATCACAATCGCGTTACAGCATTCTTGCGAAATGAGGAAAGGAACGCGCCATTGAACAGTGAATCAAGGAATTTAATTGTAAACCTATGTAATGTATTAGTGGGTATTATATTACATATATTTAATTGAAAAAAAGTATAATTAAATATGTGATATAACTCCCGATTTCAATAAATATATATATTATATCCTTATATACTAAACGGAACTATATGAAATAAAGAATAGATTTAAGAAATTGTTAAGAATGCTGGCGGCAGTATTACCGGATATTTACTAATTAGCACGTGTTTAAATATCTTTCCACGATTTAACTCATTCAGTTAAGGATCTAATAACATCTTTTAACATGTTTATAAAAACCGCAATTTGAGAAAGCTGTTTTACCGTTACACATAACATCTAATAGAACAGTTGTATGGCCAAAAATTAAATATTTTATTATATCTTCTAAAAAAATATCCTAACTGTTATATAGTAAGTTATGTCAAGTTTGACAGTAATAATAGTCTGTTCGTTAATATTGTATGAATACGTGATGGCACAGGCTCACATTGTATCTAACATTTTTGTTAGTTCAATCAGTAACTATGGATATTTTCAAAAAACAAATCATACAGATGTTCTTAAGATTAATAATCCCAAATAGATTCCCAATCCCATTTTCATTTTTCTTTATACTAAGGCAAAACGGGCTTTCGAAATTCCATACAATACACAGATTGATTTTGATATTAGTTTCCTGGACAAGCTCCTACATTATTTTATCCTGTCTATTATTATATCTCTTTTATCTATAGTTTAATATATAGACATAATCAAAATCTAAATATAATTTTTTTTTCAACGCGCGATTCTAGATGTCCAGCATGGCGTCCGTTAGATAGGTATAGATTATAGTAATCTTAGCTAGGGTAATTGTCTATGTTATTATCCATAGAAAGTTTATATCACCAACCCACAATCTACGATGTCAGTGAACTTATTACTTTTTCTTGAAAGTAGAAAACAACAATGTATCTTTATTTTAAAACCGTTATCTTTCAGGGCCCATTATCCTATGTATCTTTTAACTATTTATTTTCGCAAACAAAAAACTTAAAATGCATTATTATATTATATTTTTATTATCCATTACAACATAAAAAGGCCGTTAAAGTAAGCTTGAAAACATGTAAGAGAATAATTTAATTACTTTTTGTGTTGGAGATTTAGAATTTTTTGTTGGAAATTTAGCAATTTTTGTGTTAACACTCTAGATGATGAAAGAAATCATATAATGTTTTATTAAGTTCGAAACAAATTGTTGTAATCTTTTAAAGAAGGTGCAAAAGATTATGTCGGTCAATAACATGTAAATTTATTTTCCAAAAATGACAAAAGTACCTTATATTCATAAAACTCAATAATGACACTAAGGTCAGAGTATCTCGTTTCTAGTACACTAGGTATGTAAATTTGTTACTTTCAAATATGATTCACGTACACTAAAAAAAAGAAGTTTTTTGACTAAAGAGAAAAAGTCTACAAAAACAAGGAAAGGAGAGAAGAGTTTAATGAGTAAAAACAGAACCTAAATGACTTTGTCTTTGAATACAATAATTTCGAATTAGGAAGCATGCATATAATTCCACGTTGTATCTTTATAGTATCTATGGTAATATTTACGCGGTAAAATACCGAGATGAGTTTTGTGATACTCTGTGCAGAATTCAATTCAATACAAGATCCATTTCGAGGTAGTCATTTCTATTTGTGTTTACACCGCTAGCTCATTATAGTTACTACTTCTCATTTCTATGTAATGATGCCAGGAACTTGATCTCTCGATTCAAGTGTACGTGTACCTTGAATGAGAGAATGTCTTATCACAGTAATTACTAATTTTATGACGACCATAAAAACCCTTTAATTGTTAGAGAATTTGTTACTTCCGTGAAATGTGACATTGCATTTTGCAAAAATGGTACATTTTTGCAAAACAACGATACTAAATGAAAACTTCAGAGTTACTAACATATTTTATTCCTACATTTCTAGCTTCTCTTAATGTTAATATTTTCTTTCTTTGGAAAATTACTATTTGCAATTAGTTTCAATCATTTTGGTAAGAGGAAAGCTAAGAAAGATATAAGGTTGTATCAAGTTTAGTTTTGTGTATATTTTTTCGAAATTATTTGAATTTTTATAATTTTTACAACAAAAAAAAACGAAAAAAAGCATATCGACTATCGCAATAGTATCGTTTCGAGTCAAGTTGTAAATTTTTAACATGCATATGTAAATAAAAGTATGAAGTCCCGTAATTCGCAATAGGAAATCGGCCAGGAATAAAAATCCATTAATGCGCGCAGGGGACAAACGCACAAACTCAGGGTTGATAGTTGCATGCCTTACCAGTTGACGGATCTTAACTAATCATGACTAAAATTAGTTATAACCATATTTTCGTATGTAATCAATAATTTCATACGAAATATTGGTGAAGGTGAATATTTAAATAGATTATTATTTAAATATTCACCTCCGTGGTATGCCTAACATGAAGTTGTGTTGTATAAACACTTTTATACTACCGTAACCAAGTGTTGTTCAAACACAATGTGTAAAGCAAAGACAATAGCTATTATCAATGGCGCCTGCCATATATTTTCCGCCGTAAGGTTTAGAACAACATCAATAATCATAAACCTTTTAATTATAACGTAGGTCTTTAATAATCCACAACATCAGCGAAGTGTGTTTCTGGATGATACAAGATATGGACTCTTATAAAGACATTTCGGTTATCTGACGTTGTTTTCCTTCAACAAACGAAGAAGAAGGAATCAATTGGTCTACAGCCGACTTCAGTCTTAAACATTGCTTGTTGGTAGTAGTTAAGGCTAGGCTAACACTAATACTAATATTAAATATGAATGTAAAAAAAAGGTTACTACTTGGCTGAAGACGTTGAGTTATGATGAAACAGAAGATCAAATAACTGTTATTCTGTAACACACCCACTCCCCCACACATATACACACACCCACGCACGCCACACACACTTAGAGAGAGACACACACACACACATACACACACACACACACACACAAACACACACCAAATTTATTTTTAAGACTCCGTTTGCAATGTTTTCTTTTAGCACTTAATACTTATTTTCTTCTATTGTATCTTATGACAATGACATGATTGTACGTGTTCCGGTCCGGTGTGGAGAGGCTGGCTATCTGTCACTCAGGTCTCCTGTTACAGAGACCAGTCTCTCACATACACTTCCTAATGTTATCATCTTAGTTTAATCATAAAAACCTTGTATGTATATGTGAGAGAAGAAAATAAAGATTATTATTATTATTATTTCAGGTTTGGAAGACACAGTGAAGTTAGTCAAAGGTGTCGGCGGCAAATGCTTCGGCTATGTAGTAGACCTGGCTGCTCGTGATGACATCTATCGTGTGGCTAAACAGGTCAAGAAGGAAGTTGGAACTGTAAGTATAAAAGGAATAACTATTGCCGGCTATTTGGATTTGTATCGAATATGGTGTTCCCTTACAGTAGCTCTACCTAGTGTGTGTGGAAAATATGCATATGTGTCTTAAAATAAAGCAAGAAATATAATATAATTAATTACTTACTTATACATAAATCGTTACCATTAAAGTGTTTAGTTCTAAGCTAACCTGCGACCGTTTTTATCTGAATTGTTTACGCATACTACGTGCGCCCCGTTTAGCGATAAAGAGCTGACCGCACTACTCTACCGTCATACAGTTTTTTTTTCTATGTAATACGGAGGGTAGGTGTTAAAGTTCTGCAACTTTGCCAACTTGTTGCCCATTTAAGATGTTACAAAATTGTTTCACACGCGAGTATTAGTTTGTACAATTACAACATTGTTAAATATTTATGATAAGATGTACTTAAGTTTTTTAGAGAAATAGAGTAAACTACTCTGAGAGAGTTTTAAACGATAATGATTCGTTCGTGCCAAAGAATTATATATGTAAATCTCAGCGTGGTTACGCTGTACACTTATTGCAAAACAAACTCTTCTACGCAGACGTTCGTAAAACTCGTACAAAACTACGGAAAAAGTTTAATTTTTGGTTTCTCGTTTAATGCAGTTAAAGTTTTTGCGTAACGTTGTGCATCATCTGACAACAAAAACTGCATGATAACAATAAACAAGTTTGTTATGACGCTGTCACGTTACCTTAATAATAAATTAATTTGAATTTATAATTAACTGGTCTGAGGCGTCAAAATATTTATGACTAATTTAACGTAGTGCTTTTTGCCATGTTTGTTGAACGGGTGTCAGACGGAACAACTGGGAAATAGAACAAAAATTTGTCTTGTGTTTGGAAAGAAGTACAACAGGAGTAAAAAGGAAAGATAAATAAAATTAAGCCGTATTAAAATAAACACATAATTAAGAGACGCATACACCACGTACCAAAAACTCGGATCATATGATGAGAGAAAAGAATCAAAAATAGAACAGAATCGTAACGGAGTGGTAAACGAAAGAGAAGCAGACAGATAAGAAGATGGGCGGACGATATAAAACGCCAATATTGTAAATAGAAAGGCTCTTGTCGAAGGAAAAAAAGCTGTAAAATAAAATAAATAAGTAAGCGTTTACTACTTTGTAATAAGTATACATAGGATCTAAATATTATATTACATGTACCTAACATTTACTTTATTATTTAGCATGGAAGTAGTACCTACATATGGGTATAAGGAATATCGTTTATATTAGCATATTTAACAATGAGGTGATTTCAGTAGATACCTAATAAAACTTTTTTAAAATGAAAATAAACTCTTAAACATAACATAAATATAGTTTCAACAGCAATCATTTTTTCTGTATGAAGTTAGACATAATATTTGGCTGCGCTCATAGATTTATATCGTTAGATAGGCCCCGACACCAAAAACTGTGGCATTGTTTTTGAATGTGTGCGTTAACAAAATGCCGACACACGCACACTAACGAGTAGTTAAAAAATCGTGTTTCTGCCATTGTACTTATTTGTTGTTATTACCTATGTACTGAGAAAATAGTGTCATCTCTTTTTCTCCTACATTAGTTGCAAACACTACTTTCTCTTTCGCGCACTCGCCATTTAAATTTGTTATTTTAGACAGTGCGGAAGGAAAAATAAAAGTTTTTAAATCAAATCGCAATACTTACGAGTGAAATGTTACACCTCTGGCTTTAGTTGTGTTTCTAGAATTGTTGTTGCACTTTAGAAAGGCACACGATGACATTTTGTGACACTAAACTGCTCGCAAACGTCCTTTACAACACGTCCGACCAACACTGTGTTTAGGGGTGCACTGATCCCAGGTTAGTGAGCTCACTCACTTCGACTGTGGAACAACACGGCGCGGTCTCACTGCGGTAAGGGCCTATCTAACGATATAAATCTATAGCTGCGCTCAAAACTGTGACTTGAGATTCGAATCTGTGTTTTCGTAATGACTACCATAAACTTTTTATGACTACCATCAGAAAATTCGTAACCAAAACAATATTTTGAGTGTTTATCGCAATTCGCACTTTTTGTTATTGCATTATACAACAACAGAGGAATCTCGATAACTCCAACCTCGTTAACTCGAAATCGTCAGTAAGTCTAAAAAATTGCTATTCCTTTCTGCTGTACACCTAATTACGCGGTATCTCTAATTATTTAGACTTTGTAACTCGAACAAAATGTTATTTTCACTACGAAGTATTGATAATACATATTTATAATCTATAACTCGAATTTCAAAAAGGAGACTGTAAGTCGTAGTTAGTAATATTTAATAACGTCTTACTTGGAATTCCCCGAAATAATAGCAATAAAATCCGAAATGAATGTTTGGGTTCGGGGCTTTTAAGATATTATTGTGTTTGTCTTGTACACGTGCAATAAATCGAATACATTCATAAAAAAAAATATATACTACAAAACTTAAGTTGAATTGTTATTCAAATTCGACTCTACCAATCTAAAAATACACTTAGAAATCGCGCCTCTGTAAGTCGAAATTTCAGCAATTAAATCATATGTATCTCGAACTTCTTGTTAAGTTGAAAACTCGTTAACTCGAATTATTTTTCCATTCCCTTGACATTCGAGTTATCGTGATTCCACTGTATATCCAAGCTGTGGGTTGGGTCCATTTGCAGTTTGAGTAATACAGTCATACTTGCACATATATTCATACGGAATCTATGATGATCTGCCAGTTGCAATAATTTTTTAATTTGCAGGTGTCGCTCCTCATAAACAATGCAGGAGTGGTATCGGGTCAGTATCTTTTGGAGACGCCTGATCATCTCATTCAGAGAACCTTCGACGTTAATATCCTAGCACATTTCTGGGTGAGTATTGTTTTGAGTCAATAATTTCATCATCATTCATTTCAATAGCAAAGAAATTTCCTATATCGCTTTGGATACATGTCTGCAATCTAAACATTTTTTATTCAAAATATTTGCAAGAACTTATTATTTTGTTACAAAAAAATATTTTAAATGATTTCGTTCAACAGTCTTAAATCTCGACTAGACTCGGACTCGGGTCTCCCAATCTTTAGAAAATAACCAACGTACTTAAAAATATGAATTATGTAACGTGCAAAAACCATTGACAATAACATTAATTATTAGACACAAAATAATATTTGCAAATACAAATTGTTGAATATCGAAATTCATAATTCATAATATACAAGTTTTTTTTATACCTGATCAAATCAGGTTTAACGCAATAAATTATTTTCCTTAAACACAAAAGCACAAAAAATTATCGTGAAATCGAATATATTTTTAATTTAACAAAACCTGTTCACTAAATTCCACAGTCTAGACTTGAGAGATGAATTATTTGGGGAATGGATCACTTTAGGTTAATAACCTCAACCGAATTAAGTTTTTAACTGATTCAAAGGCTATGTATATTTAAGTACGGGTGCTACTTGTGGTGACTGGTCGGACTTAAATTCGTGTATCTTGCGATGTTAGTTATTTCGACTATGTATTTGCGTGTTGTTCCCACGAGAATGTAAGTGCGTGCTCCTATTTCACCATGCCTGCTGCTGATAGAGGACAAATCATTGTTTTTTTTTATTAATAATTAACTATTTAAGATGATTACTTAAGATGTTATGTGGAACATGGTGTAATGGTTGCCGCTCCTTACTAGCATTTTGTAAAACAAAAAACTTGGCGATTTAAAAGAGTGGCGGAGAGTTTATTGCTTGATTTGAGAACTGGCAGTCAATGTAAAATTAGAAGCATTTAGCATTTAATATGTATTTCTTAATTGACGTTCATAAGTGTAAATTGTGTTACCTAAATGAATAAATGATTTTGAATTTAAATTGTGTACCTTTCCGTATATCCGGTTGTTTGTTGTTTCGGGTTGGGTCATTGAAGACTGATCGACGCATTCAAAAATCAGTTATACAACTAACGTAGAAATGTGATTTTGAACAAATATGTATGCGTAAATAGTTTAAACAGCCATAACACGAAGTAACATTGTTGCGCTGCAATAAAATTAATAAAAAAAAGCCTATAATTTATGTCAAATTAAGTTTAATATGTTGTTATTATATTAAATACTCCCACACGACCTCCGAAGAAGTGTCTTCAAAATTCTTCCACTTGTCTCAAATCCTTGCTGCTATTTTCCGATCCTACCCCCTATCGCATCTTCATAGGTTTCTGGTGAGTATCCTCTTCCTTTTATGCTCACTGGCCTATTCTAAGGTCATTCTTTTTGGACCAGTCTGCCATCACAAACGGGCAGTGTGACCCCGCGTTGGTCACGCACTGCGCTTCTTATGAAAATTTATTTAACTACGTAACCTGAGTTTTTTAGTTATTGGTTTCAGACAGTCAAAGCTTTCATACCAGATATGATAGACAGCAACCACGGGCATATAGTAACCATAGCATCGATGGCTGGACATGTTGGAGTTCCAAAACTCGTGGACTACTGTGCCTCTAAATCGGCTGCTTGTGGTTTTGATGAAGCCCTGAAGGTCGAGCTAGATTCAAAGGGAATAAAGGGAGTCCACACGTCATTGATATGTCCGTACTTTATCAGGGCAACGGGGATGTTCGAAGAAGTGAAGTCAAGGTAACTATTTTTTTTTTTTAGTTTGACATGGCAACATGGTTATTTAATTAATGTGATGAAGGATAGTAATCAATATATGTCGCATATTCAAAAAGATTAATGATATCCGCGTGATTATCATGATATCACCTTCATGACGTCATATTGTGTGGTGTTGCCATTCTATTAAAATTAATGTCATCGGGTTCATTTAATACAATATATTCGACATATACATCCAAAATTATCTTTTAGATGAAATGTAGTTAATATATGTTTGGGATAGAGAGATTCCTCCAAGTCAAAAATCAAGATATCCAAACCAAACCTACCCGACATTGTTTTATTTTTAAAAAATGCAGTAAAACTATTAACTGCCACTTAAGTGAAAACAACATTTATTTTTATTTTTACTTGCAAAAGTTACTTAAAAGCCTTGCATATATATATATATATATATTTGTTACATATTTTAAAAATTATGAAGCTTGCGCAGGTTCTCACTTGAACGGCTGAGTTTTGTTGTTTGGACACTGGAGCTTTAAAAAAACATGTAAATGTAATAATTATTTTACTTTAGTATGAGATATATGGTCGCTTCAGCGTGCGGCCCTTATCCCTGAGGTCATAAGTTCAATTCCCAGCTGTACACCAATGCACGTTCTATGTGCGTGTTAAACACGCGCTCTTGCGGTGTAGGAAAACATCGTGAGGAACTTTGAGTCTACGGCGTGTTTCAGGCATAGAAGACTGATCTACTACTTGCATATTAGAAAAACAAATGATTACAAAACAGATATGTGAGGGCCAGATCTAAAAGTTGTAGCGTCATTGGTTTCTTTATATTACACTAGTAACTTGTCTAGTTAAAAAAGTAAAAATGAAAATAAGCAACGCCCTATTACAGGATCGTCCCTCAGCTGAATTCCAATGACGTAGCAGATAGAGTGGTCTACGCTATACGGACGAACGAAAATGTCGCAGTCATACCCAGCTACCTTCGAGTGCTGTTGCCGTTAAAATGGTAATGGTTATTACAATCAAAATATCATAAGGTCAAGTAGCTCGCTAAGTAGTTGAAGCACTTTGGAGTTGTATTGTCCGCCTCTGACTTTTAAGATAATGTTCAATTTTTTTATTCTATATAAATTCGTATTTAAGATTTTGGTTGTGCCAAAAATATTAATTTATATTAATTTATAGGCTGGTACCTTGGGCGTGTGTTTCTGAATTCATCCGAGGCTTAGTACCAGACGCAATGCCAGCACCTATGCCCTTGCCGGAAAAAAAACTTGAGGCAGATATTCTCAAACCAAACGGAAAGTTGGAGTCCCGCCCCATGACCTTAATACCACCAGCGAGAGATGATCGACGCGTCTGACATTCTCTTTTTATATCCATGACTTTATAGTGCCAAGAACTCTTCTGACGGTGTTCACTTTTTAGTACGGCTTGCGACGCTAGAATTATATGATGTTGGTGTAATGTATCGGATATCTGACATTGTTTCAAGTTTTGAATAAATGGAGCCGGTATCGGCATGCAAATTCAGCAAGTAAAAAAAGTATCTGTAAACCGATAAAATAACGATGTTTTATATATTACAAAAAAGTTATCAACTAACGAAGTATTGCACGAATTGTGTAAAAAAATGACAATGACCTTTTCTTATATTTGAGAACATAATTGTTTTTAATGCTATTTAAATATACAATAATATAGCAACTTGGCTAAAAGCCATAATCGACAAAATATATCTAACAAATTATTATGTGATGTTGATTTGACTTGATGTCCATAGCCCATGAATAAAAACCCCATTAAAGGGTGCTTCTAATAAAATATTTGGCGAAAAAAATATTTAGTTCAAATTAACTATGGACCAAAAACATTCCCTAAAGAATAATTAAATAACCATAGTAAGTTATATTAAGACTTCTGAATTGGACTATATCTTGATGAAATTTCTATTAAACGGTACTGTACTCGTCATGTATAGATCTAGATTGGTCTATTTTTTCATTGTGCTAACCGAAAATAAATTAATGGTGCAAATTGATAAGTGTCCTTATTCAGACTTAATGTGTAATTCATGAAATGTATAAAGCTCTTAAAATAACACCTTAAGTCAACGAATTAAACATTTTTTTTTGACATTGACTACTTGAAACTCTATAGGAATTCAAACACGTTGTAAAGCACTAATGTGCCTTTGGCTACATTTAAAATATTGTCATGAATCGTAAAATATTGACATTTGATACTAACAATAAGTTAAGGAATAAAATAGTAACGCTGTGGTACTTAGTCAATATGTTAACAGGAGATTCTGGATGTGATTTCTAGTTGAATAGTTTATTTTATATCTCTTGATAAATGTTAATTACTGCTATAGTTGCAGAAAAAGACAACCCGTTTTTTAATAAAACAAAATAACATCATATACTGTATTGATTTTAATATTTTTTTAATTATTTCATTAAAAGTAATCACTTTTTGTAATTATAGCAGTAATGAAGCTGTTCTTTAGAGCAGTTTTATGACATTACCTCTTATTTTTAATTAGGTAATCAAAAAGGGTTTTGGTCAAATAACACGAATTGCTCAACATCTGAATTGTTATGTGTACTTATAGGTAACAGTATAAGTCAATTTAGTTTGTATCATCTAACTTGGCCGCCAGTAATTTTCCATAGTTAGTTTTTGCTGATAATAATTAACGAGAGAATTTTGTAATAATGAAAACTATATAACAAAGAATATATGTATCAGATTTGGCGCCATAAATGCGTTTATACAAAAAGCAATAAAATGTTATTTCTTTGTATAGGACACAGGTGTACAAAAAGGGGATACAATAATATAGATAAAATTAAGAATGATTAAATTTAATTTTCTTACAGTCGGTCATCTTGTATTGGGCAACAATTAAATATAATCTAAATACTAATTACTTTAACCGAATATTATGTAATATAAAGTATACGATGTATGTCATGTAAATAACACGTTTAAATTTATTGTATATATATATGTTTTGTACAATTTTGCATTTTTAATACCTTGATTTTTTATATTGTGATAAAATCTTTCGATAAATATTTTTGTAATTAATGTTATTGTTAATCGCATAAATAATTAGTATTCATAATAAATTTTGAAATAATAAATTTTTACTTTGTTTTAACAAAAAAGGAGCGAAGGAATTTCGGCAGCTATTATAAGAAACTCATTAAGTTTCCCTATCAAATACCAAAACCAATGTTTCTAGAAGGCACAGATTCAATAAGTACCTAAACTGAAGTTATCCACTTATGACCCTAAAATCCTTATAAATATATAAAGTCATTTCCGTCGCCGTTTTAAATATCAAAATTAAATTTTAATTCAAAATATATTACCATAAATGCATACATGAATAGTTATTTAAGTAATTACTAATGAGCAATAATAATATACCTATTAAATTCAATACAATAAACACTGCTGTATTGGCGCCAAAATTGGCTCTTTGTAATTCACACACATTGACACGATTGCGCTACGTTGACGCTTCTACAGATTAATACAAACTATTGTCTTGTCTTGAAGAAGTCAAACTTTTGCCGTATAATTAGAGATGCCCATAATATATTTTGTTAGAAAAATAATGTCTTTTTATCGATTTACGTAATTAGTATATCTGTTATTCTTAGGAGTGGTAATTGGTTTATGTGTGCAAATGAAGCCGCAGCTCCTTAACGTACATATATGTAGATTGTAGCTATTATATATACGAGATCATTTCATTTATTTCGCCATAATAAAGTAGGTACTTTCTTATCTTCATGTTACACCAATATATTCCTTTAATACATATGAAGAAGTCTATTGCTGTGTGCTCCTAGTACTTTTGTTTAAATTACACTTTTTTATTTGAATCGGGGTAACTAATAACAAATGAATTCAACACATACGTTTTTTATATACCACTTAAAAGATTTAAAAGCGAATTTATTACTTAATTAACATGACTTCACGTTTTGTGTGACGTCTCTACAGTCGTGGTCAGTGAGTTGTAAAAAATATAATGTAATAATTCGCGTTTATTATATTTTACATGAGGTTTAATAAATTATAAACTCGACAATATTAGACCATACATTCTTTTACATTCATTACATCAATGACATAAAAACAGTTATACACATACTTAACGCAACATAATTTTATATAAATACTTTTATTTGACAATTAAGTAAACGCTTAAAATGTGATTTTAGTGACTAGGTCAAAATGAAACGTCTACGTCTGCCTACAGTTTAAAGTTATAATAAAGAAACATTTTTATTCATCATCCCTTCTGCAGTGAGAATGTTTTGTCAAACTTATTTATTCAATGATACAGGAGTCTTAACAATAATAGCTATTGTAGATGATTTAAGTATCAGAAAGGAGGTCAGAAATTAAAATGTAGTTATTATATCTTACCTATATTAATGCCCTGAAACTTAGTCTAAGAACGCCGAAGGCGAAGGGAAACGGTTAACAATTTCTTATATTAATGTTCACTGGATTATTATTAATTTCCTAACTGCTAATAATTACAAGATAGATACAATTATTTTTTATTATATAGCACCCTTTATTTTTGGTAGTTTAAATCTCTTTTAAATTTTAACTTTGCCATGATTTGTAAAATTGTGTTCGCAAAATACATTTTAATTAAACTAAACGTGACTTACAAAGGTATCTTTATCAATTTGTATCTACTGTATATTTATAAATAAACTTATTAAACCGGCATTTGATTAAGCCGCGGAGGCTGTTATTACCTATATTTTATTTTTCGCTTGGAGCTACCTGTAAAATCAGTTTCTATTGGTTTTAATTATTCATATTTTACGCGTGTAACCACGTTTTTAGTTTAAAATACACTTCAAATAACTTATGTCTATTAATTCCTAATCATTCCTATCCCTCGGATAAGATTCTGGTAACGTAAACTTTGATATAGGTGAAATATAAAGAGGATTCAATTCTTGCATGTTCTTTCTGCTCTCTTGTGCCTCCTGTACAAATTTTGCGTACGCCCTACGATCGGACACAATTTGCGCGCTTTTTACAGCTAAAATAATAATTATGCCGCCGAGTATTACACAAGCTATAGTTATAATGGCACTCATCATGATCTTGGCTGTTGTAGGCTGCGAACACATTTTAGATCGGATGATTATTTCCATAGATATCATTGCCTGTTCTGCGGCGTTGTATGTGTATTTGTACTCGCACTCCAAACCGTCCTCCTCCCGGCGTAGTATGCATGGTATGTCATTTATTTTGGCGTCCTCTGAAATAAAATAAATAGAAATACAGAAAATCAAATACCGAGATTAAAACTAATGATGTGTGATTAAGAAACAGATACGATTATGATTCAATACATCTCATTTTCACATTGGCATTCTAATATCTGACATTTAATGACGCTGTGATCAAATCACTATAGTTCGCCGATTTACCAATAGATAGCGCGATACGCTAATGATGATGAATTTACTTAAACGCGTTTACAAAATAAGCTCATAATATATATTATATACATTTCATTAAAATAATTCTATTCCGGACTAGCTTTCTATTCAGACCGAGCTACGCTTGTCAAAACATCTGATCTGAGCTGTAACGGGCCTTCGGGCAAACAGCGAGATTCCATTTAAAAAAATAGAGATGTATTGAGAGTTATTATTCATACATCGACAGTAGCAGTGTTTTATTTACGTGTTTTTAACGATTAGACAGTAGACGATATGCGAAAATTACCCCGTTTTATTTTACCGCAAACGACTTCTCATTTGCGGGAAAAAACAGTCTAATGGTAGTAGTACGATTGTTGGTCTTAGAACCGCAGTTATAAGCGTCATTACCCTACATTTCAGAGCAAATTGCTACACTTTATGACACACAGTGAGTATTAAATGCAATGAATGTCTGGTTTTTACGCTATTTGAAGTTGAATGTTTTCTTAAGAAAGTCAGAGATCTTAAAATACCTTGCACTTTTCATATATTGCATTTGTATTTAATATAATAAAGATACTATAAATCTTACCATTCAATCTTTGACTAACAGTATAGTTAAGGCCTCCAATACTACAAGTTTCATTACAATTGTTGTTAAGGTTACATAATACGCAGAGTTCTGCGTTTGCGCATAGAGGATTCTCACAAGTGGCACACGTTTCACAAAATGGTCCCGTATACCGCATCCCCTCTATCGTGGAGGCACATTCACATCTGCCTGAAAAAATAACAAATCTTTTGTGCGATTGTGTCATAAGAGAAAGACGTCAGAGCATGACCACTACTCCAAGTCGTGTTCCGAATCTCGTCTTGATAAAGG